TTCGCTGAGAGTATCTCAAGTGTTTTATAACAATCCCTTTCAATTTCTTCTTCATTCTTAAATTTGATCTTTTCTCCAAATTATGTATGACGTATGCAACTTCATTAAAACAATCCTCTCACTGTAAAAAATATGTTCAAGATTTGTTATCGCAACATATTTTCTTTTGTCAAATCAACTTTATAATAATTTATTTAGTTGAGATAACTTATTATTTTGAGTTTCTAATGATTAAATTAATCTACTTCATTGTATTAACTCACCTTTTCCAGTTCAATCAACTTAAAATTTTAAGGCAACCAGGTTACTTACTTTTTTTTTAAGTTAAACCAACAATATTTTTTACAGTGTAGTAATCACAACATTTTTTCTTTTGTCAAATCAATTTAAATAATTTATTTAGTTCAGATAACATATCATTTTGAGTTTTTGGTGATTAAATCATTCTCCTTCATTGTATTAACTCACTTTTTCCAGTTCAATCAACTTAAAATTTTAAGGCAACCAGGTTACTTAGTTTTTTAAGTTAAACCAACAATATTTTTTTAAGTGCATGCTCATCAGCCAAACCTTGACTGGATGTTGACTTGTCTTGGATTGAATCACATGAAGGAGGAAAAGTCATTTCTCCACAAACTGCTTCCATAAAGAACATAAAAACAAGTAAAATACACTTCTTTCAAATTTTGGAGGATCTCTCTTTGGAGGATCCAAGAGGATCTCTAATGTGAGGTAAATTGAAGGCCTTAAAGGAGTAGTTCACTTTTAAATAAACTTTTGCTGATAATTTACTCACCCCCATGTCATCCAAGATGTCCATGTCATTCTTTCTTCAGTCGAAAAGAAATTAAGGTTTTTGATGAAAATATTCCAGGATTTTTCTCCATATAATTGACTTCAATGGGAACCAAACGGTTCAAGGTCCAAATGACAGTTTCAGTGCAGCTTCAAATGTCTTTAAACGACACCAGACGATGAATAAGGGTCTTATCAAGCGAAACGATCGCTCATTTAATAAATAAATAACAAAGTTTAAGTTTTATAAGCTCAAATGCTCGCCTTGCTCTGTTCTGTGTTGAGCGTTCGTGACTCTCCTGTTCAAACTCAAAATGAACAAATCTTCCTAATTAAGAAAAAATTTTGCTGATAATTTGTTTAATTGGGGTTGGAAGTATGGTTTTTGGAAACACAGACTCATTGAACTTGTGAACATACAGTAGCTGTCTAACAATACTTTTGAGAAACTAGTAGAAATTAGTAACCATGCAATTGCTTTCACATGGGGTGTCCAATCCTGCTCCTGGAGGGCCCCCGTCCTGAAGAGCAACCTTAATTAAACACTCCTGAACCCGTTAATCAAGGAGTCTCTAGACATACTAGAAACTTCCAGGGAGGTGTTTTGAGGCAAGTAGGAGCTAAACTCCCTCCAGGACCGAGTTTGGACTAAATGTTTGGTGGCAGAAACAATTAAGGCCTTGAAATGTAGCCCATCTGTTTGGTTGCAGTAGTGATTTTAGTAGCTTTGACACTCGTTTTCTTTCTCTCTCACTTAAGCCAGTCACAACTCATCTCTCCCGTCTCGCCACTTGTTCGTTTCCATTTCTTGTTGTTTCTCAGAGCTGCCCCCTGAGTCGCCGTGATCCTCGGCAAACCTCGGCGTTATTGAATTGGTTTACAGGGAGAGGTTCTAGGTAATGTATCAGCCCTTATCCGAGGAGCCAAAGGGAACAAATATTGACATGTAATTCTCTTTTTTCACCCCTTCTGCATCTCTTTCTCTGTCTTTTTTTCTTTTATTGTAGCCAGAGGAAGGGGATCTGTGTCGCTGGGGACGAAAATGGATCTAAATGAAATATTTTCTGCCTTTTTCTCTCGCCCTCTCTCTCATCCACACCCTTGTTCTCCCTCTCTTTTTACCGTTCCCTCATATAAAGAGAGTCTTTTCTCCTCTTTGAGAACACTGTACCCTTTCCACCAAGGCAAATAACCATTAGCGAGAGAGAAAGGAAGAGCAGGAGTGAGTTGGGGGTGGGCGGGGGTTTGAATGAAATGAAAATAAGAGGTCATTTGTTTCATTTGGATTCTTTTTTTACCCTCCATCTAGGGCCTGTGTTTATCTTTGCCCAGGCAGAGGATGTGCTGGTGAGGGGGAAGCTGGAGCAAAGAGGTGTTTTAACGGCCGTAATTTGGGGCCGGTAATATACAGACACAATGGCTTTTCTCCTCCTGCACAAACTTTTCTCATTACGTTTCCTTATTTATCTTCCCGAGGCTGAGCGAGCAAGAAAAAGATTTTATTTAAACGTAATTTCCTCTTGAAAAGCAGTCATGTTGAATGAGATATGCCTGAAGAGCGCTCTTTTCTCTGTCCATTTGTCTGTTCTTTCCATTATACCGTCGCCATATGATGAGATGCTACTATTAGCGTGGTCGTCAGGGACATCACGTATCTGTTATTCCTAAGGGGACACCGATGGCAGTCCTGCCTCACTTTCCGGAGGCCAAAATGAGGGCAGTTTCTTTGCTGTATTGACGTAAAGATAAGGTTTTAATATCGAAAGGCACGTCACATTTAAAAATAATAATAATAGCCAATAGGCTTTTGTTGCCTTATAGCTATGAATGTGCTTCTTTCTAGGCCATTTGCATCAGAGTGATGGACATTCTCAGTGAACTTCATTGACAAAACTGAGTAGCACAGGATGAGTCATAACTATTTTGTCTATTTTTCTGCAAGAGAACCATTTGACATTTTTAAACACACGTATCTGCAAAAATTCGCTCATTTAAAAAAAAATAAACCCAAAGTTTAAGTTTTATAAGCTCAAATGCTCACCTTGCTCTGTTTTGTGATGCGCGTTCGTGACTCTCCTGTTCGAACTTGTTTATCAAAATGAACTATTTTTTTCCGAGTCATTTGGTTCATTCAACGAACTAAATGAATGAATTGACTCGGAAAAAGATTCGTTCATTTTGATGAACGAGTTCGAACAGGAGAGTCACGAACGTGCATCACAGAACAGAGCAAGGCGAGCATTTGTGCTTATAAAACTGTTATTTTTTAAATGAGCGATCGTTTCGCTTGATAAGACCCTTATTCATCGTCTGGAATCGTTTAAAGCCCTGAAACTCTCATTTGGACCTTGAACCGCTTGGTTCCCATTGAAGTCCATTATATGGAGAAAATCCTGGAATGTTTTCATCAAAAACCTTCATTTCTTTTCGACTGAAGAAAGAAAGACATGGACATCTTGGATGACATGGGGGTGAGTAAATTATCAGTAAAGGTTTTTTCAAAAGTGAACTACTCCTTTAATTTTTCAATTTTAAAATGTAATTTATTCCTGTGATTACGTCAGTCTTCAGTCACATGATCCTTCAGAAATCGCTCTAATATGCTGATTTGCTGCTCAAGAAACATTTCTGATTATTATTATCACAGTTGAAAACAGCTGCTTAATGTTTTTGTGAAAACCATAATTCAGGATTCGTGTTACAATGTAAAAGTCTTTGTCACTGTGTGACCCATTTATCGAGTCCTACTGTATATAAGATTTCTTCCAAAAATAATCTCACTGACCCCAAACATTTGAATGGTATTAAATACATTGGCTTTTAGCATATATATACAGTCCATACAAGCTAAAAAGGAAGTTTTTAAGATCTTAGAAATCCATCATATATGTATAAGACATGTTCGTCAAGTGGTGCAGTTTTCACTTAGTAATCAAGGAAACTAGGGTTCAAATCCCAATCTTATATATAATAGTTTTTCAAGCCAACTTTCAGCAAATCTGCAAATGTAGACATTTCTGCCACAGTGCACTAGATAAACACATTTTACCCACAATAATTGGGCAGCTAAATTATCAGTGTATGTATAAATTCAAATTGCATTTATAATCCACTTTGCCTGTGCCCCCTCAGTTTGAATGCATGATACTTCTGGTCTCTCTCTCTCACTCTCTCTCTCTCTCAGAGTCCCAAAGCTCTCATATCCCTCCATCTGCCAACCCTCCATCTTCCCTTCTGTTTTGCTGTCATCCATTGCTCTGTGTTTCACATATCCCGATTTCCTTCTCCCATCTTTCTCTACCTCTCTCTCTTTCCCCGTTTCACTTGTTTTTTCTTGACTGAACGTGGCACAGAATAAGTTTTTGAAAGCTGGGGAAAGCGCACCCCTGGGAATCTCATGCACTTTTTGTTTTGTGGAAAGAGAATTTCGAAAGAGAGACAGTGAAAACAGAGCAAAAAAAAGAAAAAAAAAACAGAGCGAGAGGGAGAGAACGACGCAAAATGCGAAATCAAGCGAAAATCAAGTTCAAGGCCAATCGCCCTCGTCGAGTGCTCGCTGAGCATCTAAGCCATTCCGTTTGCCTAACTCATGAATAATTGATTAGATAATGAAAATCGTAATGAGGCCGATATTTTAAATTCAAATTCAAATCAAACACCGTCTACGACACCCAGCGCACTTCAAGAGGGCAGTTGTTTGCAGAGGGATGCTGATTGGTTGTGGCAGGTGTCACGTGATCAGGCTGAAATCATTGTGTTTTGGGATAAAGATGTTCATTTTCATGTCACGTAAGCGCATGTATGGAGTGGCGAGAGAGACACAGGCACAGAAAACACACGTTAAACACGGACATGTGACTAGACGGCAGAAAGTATGGAAAGTTGTCGGATACATACCTCAAAATCGTAAATTGTCTTTCCTTGATGAATAATTCATGAATCCATTTTTCACCCGAGCGTGTTTGTTTGCTATAAACTGTGCGAGGTCATAAATCTGGCCCAAAAATGGCAATGTAAACATGCGTTCGGTGTGAAATACATGCCATACATCTCTGACTTCCCAGAATACAATCATTAAGTCACTTCCCTTGTTCTGACTCTGTGCTCCTTCATCTTTCATATTCCCCCTCTTGGAGCTCAGCTTTGATAAATACAATCCTTTACTGCTCAGAAGTAACACAGCAGTGTTATTACTGGCTGCTCACCTTTCTCCTTCACTCATTCGGTTCCCTAGCTACCCCTCTTCTTCTTCTTCTTCTCCACCTCTCCTTCTCCTCCCTCGCTCCAGGTCACTGTTGACATTGAGCTGTCAGTGAGAGAGAGAGTTGTGTGAGTTTCTAATTCTCACAGATATTGGAACAGAGAAAGTGGCATGGGAATGAGAACATCACTACACAAACACACACACACGGTTTCTCCTCTATTCTCACATGTTTGCTGTCTCTCTGATTTGCTCGTTGAGTTCGTTGCTCCCTCTCTTTCTCGCTCTCTCAGATTCAAGCGGTTTCATTGGCAAGGTTAAAAAAAGCTTTACATTCCCAAAGCATTAGCAAAAGAATATACACAAGCTAAACTAACCTACTAACTAACTCACTAATCTATGAGCATTAAAGCTATATATGTCATTAATGTGATTTATTTGATAGTTTTAAATGTAAACTAATCAACTAAATAAAATAAGAAATGTACCAAATGCATGTAATTAATGGACTTCATTTTTCAAGTCAGCATGAAATGTAAATTCACATACTCAATTTTAGTTTAGTTTAGTTCAATTAAAGTTATTGGTCTAACTGTGGAAGATTTGTTTTTTCACCTCGTCTCTAGTGACGTATGCCAGACTTTTCCAATCATCTAGTCTTTTTAATCGTAATATATATATATATATATATATATATATATATATATATATATTACAATAGACTGCATTCAGAACCCATCCCAGTCCCCACCCAAAAATGTTTATATGGAATATTTATATTTTTATATTTAATATGGATCTGCCGCTACTACAGTTACATTGTGACTTGAAGTAACACACTAAAAAAATGTAAATAAAATAAACAATTCAGTATCATAAGTACATTTACTAACTTTCGCATTTTAAGGGTGTTAAATAAATTACAATTCAACAAAAAATATTTTTAAATTAATGGAGTTGACTTTAAAAAGATATCCATGTCTTTCTTTCTTCAGTCGAAAAGAAATTAAGTTTTTTTTATGAAAACATTCCATACAGTATAATGGACTTTAATGGGGTCCAAACGGTTCAAGGTCCAAAATAGAGTTTCAGTGCAGCTTCGAAGGGCTTTAAACGACACCAGACGATGAATAAGGGTCTTATCTAGCGAAACGATCGCTCATTTCAAAAATAAATAAAAAAGTTTAAGTTTTATAAGCTCAAATGCTCTGTTCTGTGTTGAGCGTTCGTGACTCTCCTGTTCGAACTCATTCATCAAAATGAACAAATCTTTTTTCGAGTCAGGACTCAAATGACTCATGACTTTATTTTTTAAATGACCGCTCGTTTCACTTGATAAGACCCTTATTTCATCGTCTGGTGTCGTTTAAAGCCCTTTGAAGCTGCACTGAAACTCTCATTTGGACCTTGAACCGTTTGGTTCCCATTGAAGTCCATTATATGGAGAAAATCCTTTTCGACTGAAGAAAGAAAGACGTGGACATCTTGGATGACATGGGGGTGAGTAAATTATCAGCAAAAGTTTTTTTGTTTGTTTTTTTTTAAAGTGAACTACTCCTTTAAATTAAAAAAAGAATAAAATAAAACACTGGTGAACGAGTTATCTACATTGCAATTCGCATCTGTGATCGACACCATATTTGCCAGAGTAAGTAGCGTAACACAACAGCAGAAACACACACACACACAATGTGTAAATCATACATACAATCCCACACACGGACATTCCCACAGCAACACTCTCCTGTATCAGGACAGCGCATGAACCATCCTCATTAAATATTCATATAATAGATTTGCCTTGTTAATTATTAAGCATGCCTGCTGTGTGTCTGTGTATCGGTCCATCTGTAAGGGACCCGAATCTCACTATAATGTCTCACACACACACTGCGTATTTGTGCATATAGAGCCACTGACACACTCTCGCACAGAGAGGACAGTGACGAAATGAACTTACACTTCTTTTTACCCTCATCCCTACCTCTGCCATCACTTATCTGGAGTCTTCTCCACAGTCTATTCCTCTCTCATATAGCTCTGATAAATGGCCAGCGGTCGGAGACAATCACAGATCACTCAACACAAGCAATATCTGTAGAGCTGTGCTGCAGTCATTAACTACAAGAGATAAAACACACACTGTCTGTCTCCCTTACACACGCACACACAATCCTCAGTCCCGCTGGATCCCATCGAACGGGTTCGAGTGTTCGGGGTTTCGCGCCCGTGCGATTTTAAGGATGGCCTAGAAAATGGAGGTGGGTAAAATGAGGGATAACACACACACACACACGCAACGCGACCGCTGTCTATTGATCAAACCAGACAGACTCATTTATGGCACTTGCACACAAAAGGTAGAAGAAGCACAGACACACACATGCTGAAAATGATGTGTGTTTTTGTGTTTTCATTACCTGAGGGACAGGGAGGGTTTATGGGGGAGTGAGGAGGTAGGGCTTGGGGTTTCAGTGTGTGTGTGTGTTGTTTGACAAGCCATTGCCATGGTAACGAAGAGACAGCCTCGTTACCCTGCAGGTGCTAATAGAGATAACGAACCTGCACTTACACTATTTTACCTCTCCTCTCACCTATTCTCCCCCTCCATTCTCTCTTTCGGTGAACCTTTTTTTTTTTTTTTTTTACATTCACCCATTTCTTTTCCATGTGCATCACATCATCCCACATCTCTATTTAGTGTTCACACACACTCTCTCTCTCCCCATTTACCACTAATTTTCCTTCCAAAAACGCAACGATAAATATCTGGGAGGCACAAAAGATTAAATCCAACTCGAAATTAGGTTGTGATTTTCAAAGTAGAAAATGTAAAAGACAGGAATAGTATTAGCTAACAAACACAACAGTGTTGGGGGGTAACAAATTAAAAGTATAAAAGCTAGTACCTTAAAGGGACGGTTCACCCAAATAGAAATACATTATATACTTTTTACTAAAAAATAGACATCAAATAAGCTTTAGTTAGACAGTTTCTGCTCATATGTTAAATATATAGCCTAGTATGTTTTGTCAAAAATAAACTAATCAACTGTTATCCAATGCACATATCAAAATAATGAATCCTTAACTTTGAAATGTGTATTATAAAATGTAAATTGCCTACTTTAAAAATAATACTTTATATGGAAAAAGATGGTTTCCAACTCTAACTTTGAACCAATTCTACTCAATGGCCCATATAACCTATTTGACCAGGATTTGTTTCCAGGTATGACTAAACATGGGTTTTTGACTTATATATATGTATATGAGTGTGTGTGTGTGTGTGTGTGTGTGTGTGTGTAAATATGTATGTATGTTGTCCTTTAAATTTTTTCTTGTCTGGCTCACCTGAATGAAAAGCTCATTATTATGCGGGTCTCTCTCAGGTGAGGGCTGGCCTGTTCACACCCATTCGCATATTGGCAAACAAAAAATGTTTTTCACAATATAACCCAATTCACAGTTTTATGTGAAAGATTAGGAGGACGATTTTCAAATCATTGTGAAGAAAAAACTCTAGGCCACAACACCCATTGGTCAAAAGTAATGCGGACGCATATTTCGTATGTGTTTTGTGGCCTTATTTCAGAAACTTTCATTTTTAGTTTTTTCAATAACCACGCATAAACAATATTCTCTCCAAAATACAAACATGTAAATACATGTTGCTCACATATTATGGTTGCCCTGTTTGTGCTGAATATAGTGTAATTTCACCTGTGCCATTAATATGTTGACAAAAGCACAGATGTCAGGGCATGTCAGAACATCTCAAGGACCCCAAATACACCTTGGTCCCCAGCTAAATAGCTGAATAACGCGTTATTTGGCCAATATATATATATATGGGCTGTCAGTTTAACGCGTTATTAACGGCGTTAACGCAAACCCATTTTAACGGCGTTAATTTTTTTATCGCGCGATTAACAGTCTTTTTGTCCTAGCAAACTTTGTAGTTTTTTCACATGCTTTTGCAACAGGACGCGGCATGCGTCCTGATCCATTTCGGCGTCTCACGCTCGTCAAAGTCGGCTCGCAAGCCGAAACGTGTGTTTGCGGCGTGCCTGTTGTTTTGTTTCCGTTCTAGCTAGATCCGCTTGCGCTTTGGTCGAAGAAGCAACAAAACGTCCTCGCGCAGCGCAAGCCATTGAAATGAATGGGTTCAGAGCGCAGCGCGAGGACGTTTTGTGCCGCACACACTCGTTTCGGCTTGCGAGCCGGCCAAATAACGTTACGTTTTGAGTGGATGAGGAGCGCGAGACGCCGAAATGAATGCCCTTAGACGATTCTGAATGGAAAGTTTTCTTTTAAAAAGTTGCCAAATTGTCCCATTAACAAGACCAGGTGATCTGTGTGTTTTGTCGTTATGAACTGAGCGATCATCATCGCAGCACGTCCAGTCTGAAACACCACTTGATAATGGCCAAGCAAACACACACACACACACACACAGAGATGATGCGAATTCTCCACCCCCTCGTCAATATCAGGACCTCGTCAGTATTTCTTTCACCCTTTTATTGATAGACAGTGTTACGTTGTGTGAGAGATTATTTATATATGTTAGTGTGAAATTGAACACTATTCCAATGTTATTTTCAATAATAATAATAAAAATAAAAAAAACATTTGCACTAAACAAGCCGATCCACTTTTCCATGTTGACAAGAGCATTAAAATGAGGAAAAAAATAATGTAACAAAAAGAAATCATTTAGAATAGATAAAAATGTGCGATTAATCGCGAGTTAACTATGACATTAATGCGATTAATCGCGATTAAATATTTTAATCATTTGACAGCACTATATATATATATATATATATATATATACATACTATATACTATATATATATATATACATACAGATATACAGTATATAGACACTGACCTGAAAATGTTCAGTGTAATCTGTTTGCTAATAGTGTTGAGAAACTTTGATTGCACTGTAGCTTCCTACTGTTGCTTACAACTATTTTTAACTACTAGTTTAACTACCTTAAATTGTGCTTGTTGCTATAGTAACCACCAAAATAACAAAAGGTACAAATATAGACCTTACGCACCAGAGAAACGTGGGCGCCGTCATCTTTAGAATA